TAACAAAAGATTGTAAAGTCGATCCGGATGGCCGAGATCGCTAAGGCAGTAGTGCCGTACCGGTCACGGACCGAAGGGTCGCGGGTTAGAGTCCCGCCTCGGGCATGGTTGTATAGTGTTCGTCCTTTCGCACCCCTATCATCGTCATATCGTGTCATACTCATAGTTACCATGCCGTTACACGCAATAGTGGTCGCTAACAACATAGTTGTTGATGCGACCTTAAAAAACAAAAGGAGAAAAAAAAGATTGTAAAACTATGAACCTACTGTTTGGGTATCTCTTCCTGGTGCCAGAGTCTATCGTTAGCTTGGGTGGTGCAGCTTTCCCTCAGTTCACATGTTTTATGCATGGCGGTTTCCATCGAAACAGTGCGTGGTTCGGGGCGCCATTAAATAAATCTCTGACGACAATGTCTCCACACTAATCTTTCTTCTCTTCGCTTTTGGCCATGTCTTTTGTTGTGTTAACGGGTCGTTTCTGGTGTTATATTCTTCCTTTTATTTTTAAATCTTAGTTTTGTTGCCGCTCTACATTGCCAACATTTCATTTTTTTTACGCTCGCATACTACTTACGCATTATAGTGTAGAAAAAGAATGCTGCACCGTAAAACGATTGTACCGTAAAACGTCTGACGATTTTTCGGCAGAAAATACCGAATTGAGGATTTGTTACAAAAAGTGGATTATTTTGCTTCTCATGTCGTAATTTTCTCTAATATATTGCATTGGCGTGATCTCAGTTTATATATCAGTTTAGAAACTGTATTTAAAAATTTTGTAATAGATATTTGTTCAAACCTTATATAAAAGATACATAAAAAATCAGATTCGACTATACAAAACGGTTTCCCAAAAAGTAGCACTCACGCTTCTTAAGAACTAACAAAATACTCTTTTTATTGCTGCAATAAATTATTTTATACCAACTTAGTATAGTATATACAGATACACAACTCAACAGTTCACATATCAAGATTATAAATATAGTTACAATTCCACAACGCAACATGTGAATAGTCGACATTTAATTGAGTGCGGCTTCTTCCTTCGAGATTTGTTAAATGATGTCCACTGCGACGGAAACGGTGACTATAAGAAGACTCACTGACTATAAGAAGTCAGTCAGTCGCTACGCTAAGTATAAGAGAAGGCGGAATAGCCCCATAAAATATTTGCATTTTTTTCAATTTTTAGGCAACGAGTATAACAGGTACCAAGTTATTTCTTTCTCAATCTGTAGGATTTAAAAAATAGAAAATTATTATGCAACCTGAAATGAGGAGAGGGAAGACTTCTGATCTAAACTCTTATGTGGTCTGATCTAAACTCTTATTTGGCAGTATTGTAAAATTTCTCTTGACGGTGCAGACTTCCTCTACCTGAACTCTGCGGTATCTCTAAATCGTCGAGGATGCTTGAAGTAGCACCGCGACATACACCTGTTTTGCGGTCGGGTCGAACGTGCCGTCCTCGCTCTAGCGAGTCTCAACGAGTGTTCGTGATCGAACAAAACTCTGTCTCAGCGGCGCTGTTATTTCGCGTCGCAACGGCATCTGTTTTCGATGCGGTGCACAAACGTTTGGTTAGCGGTGGGCGTAAACGCGCGTGGTGACAAACTCCCCCAGGGACAGCATTACTTAAATGACTGCAAATGTTATAATTATGTGTTTGCCACTCGTGTGTATTTGAGGGAAGGGTAATTTCGGATTAGGTTACTTTGCGGTCGGCAAAGAGACGTTGAGATAACCAAACCTGTACTACGGTAACCGGTAATACGGTTGATATCTGAAGATAAACATAGAGATGTGCCAGAAATATTGTTTAATGGATAATCTTTGCTCCACGACGAGTAGAATAAAGTTATTGTAAATACTGTAGCAGGAAATTAGAATGTCCATAAAAGTACAAGTACATTGTGATTTCGATTACATGGGAAAATACAATATCAAGATATATACTACTTTGTGTTTCGGACACAGTCATCTTTCCTAGTAGAAGTCATGAACATGAATTTCTTTTACAATATTATAGAAACTTTATAACAGAATTGATGCTTCTTGGATTCCATCGTCTCTTATAAATACGTTCCTTATAATGGTACTCATCTTACTTGTATTTTGAGTACGACTCTCTAAATCCCTACAATGCGGTAGATACCGCGTTATATTGCACATAATATGTACGCCTCAAGTAAAAGTCGATCCGTGATACGTCAAAGAAGTGAATCCTGTACTGGTATATACGTCGGGCTTATGAAAGACACCGACCAGTATATATTATGTGCATTTCGCTTAAACAAATTTGAATCTCCTCGTAATTAACTCCCGGAAGAAGTGAGAACAAAAATAATATTACCAGACAACGTCTGTTCAAAACGAGGGAGGGAATTGAATACAACCGCAATATGCATTGGCGGCGGCTGTTTTCGCTGCTAATTTTATTCATGACTTCCTTTTTTTATTCATTTCGTTGTCTTTGTATAGCGCTCTTCCTTCCTATTCCACGTTTATTTTCTTCGCATTGAACATCTCTAACAGTTCCTTTACCATTTGGCGTCGGTCCTTCTCTTTTGGCTTTCCTACTCATTATGCTCCTTTTTAGTTTTATTATGCTACTTTCTCTTTTTATGGTATAAGAATACCATTCTTTCTTCATTCTTTCACACTCTCTGGTTTCTTTGCAGAGAGTGTATTCTTCGATGAGTGTTGCCGTTTCTATTCTCAATGTAATATTTTCGTCTAAAAGGGTTGGATGAATTTAGCGCTCTATAAAGCAGCGTAGAACAGTAAATATTTATTTTGTAATGTGAATTTAATGAATAAAGTGTGAAGGTGTGATGTAATAACTTGGAAAACTGAGCAAACGTTATGTGCCAACGAAATAAGTGTTTCTACGTGTTCGTTTGCGTGAATTGAAAAGTACATAACCTTTTGCTACTTGAATATATTGGTGTTGTGGAGCAACTCCTTACTTTCTTGTTTTAAAAGTACATTTTGTGCTTGTTCATGAGTAACGTTTTGTCCACAATTTATGCATTCTCTTAGGAACAATGGAGAGTAACAAAACGTAAGAACTGGATTAAATGATGTCTCATCTGTGTGCATTTATGTCTCTTCTGTATTCACATTGTAAAAATACAATTGTGTGTACACCGCTGTATCACTTTCCAAAATGGATGCACTTAGATTTGCATTATTGTCACATAAGAATAATATAGTTGAATCTTCCAGTTTTGAAAGCAGAACTAGGTATTTCCAAACATGGATACGATCCTTGTCAACGCGCGAGTGTAAATCTTCGCCCATTTGGTGGTTTCCGTAATTACACGCTCCAATTGCAGCAGAAGTTTGAAATTTGCTGTTTTTAGAAGCGACGCACCGTAGTCGCACGTGTGAGTTACTATAATTAATCATTCATGAGGTGAAATATCACTTCTGCTTTCGGAACAAAGTTTGCGTGCGCAAGGCAAAAGAGAATTCACAAGCTTCTTCACAAGCAGCACCGAGAAATCGTTTCACAAATGGCGTTTCTGTGTGCATGCTTCTATGTCCTATCTGTAAAAGAGATTTTGCATCTTGTTCTATCATGTCTATAGTTGCATTTGTGTAAATGCGTGCTGTCTTAACAAAGTGTATACGTGAGAGTGAATGTATAAAAAATAAGGAAATTTGTTTTCAAATATAAAGGTTAAATTATGATGTTTCTAATTTGATTGGCTTCATCTGGTCAGTTAGCTATTGGCGATTCTTCTGAACATGAACTTAATAAACTTTCAAATTAATTGTGAATTAATTGAGCACAGTCCTACGCCTTCATGTTCATGGCTGAATTCCGTGAAAAAGCATTTTATATTTTACAAAAACTTTTGAATTATTTAGCATAGTACACGTGTGTAAATCTAATGTATAAAGCACACTTGATGAAAGTTTGGAGTACATAAACTCTCTCAGTATGCATGTAGGAAACCGATTCACGACTGCAACTTCCTCTTGTGTTTTCGTCATTCGTTTCACGAAGGATTTACGTTTACAGTCATTCAATAAGAAAATTGTTAACGTAAAAAGTCCAGTCGATGAAATTTATATGGTACGAATGGTGAGATGGTAATGTTCATCCTTCTAACGAAGTGCATAAAACACAAGGGCTAAAGCAGCCAACTGAACACGCTCCCGCTTACCTCTTGGTCGCATCGTTCTGTCTAAAGTTTGTATGTATTATGGAAGATATTGATCACAATTATGCTAACCTGTCTGTGGTAATTACAATGAGTACTGGCAGACTAGTAGCTCGGAAAGGTAGGATTGAGGTAAAATAACTTCCTTATGGGCGAAACAGTACATAAATTTGTACACTAGCGCACACATGTTAGCTTCTGTGCTCAGTTTTAAAAATTCTCCTAGATGTTTCTTCTTCTGTAGGATAGCAATGAAACACATTTAGTGCCCTGACAAACTAGTACTTATGAGTAAATAGAGCGGTGCGTTCAATTCCTTCTTGAAGAGCTCTTATGTTTGGGTTAGCCGATTGACGTAACTAAAATCTCATGGACCATCCGCCTAGATTCATCCTATTTTTAAATCGTTCAACATTTCAAATAAAATGTTACGAATTGATATGAAATGTATTTAAATATTTGTAATATTCAAGGTAGATTCTCACGAGAAATCGTCTTAACTTTGAGAATCTGCTTCTGTACTCTTTTGAAAATATCTTATTAAAAGTAATGTAAAACAAAAAAAAGTAGAGTTTGATTCTCATAACTGTAGTTTAATTGTGTTGGTTAACCACAAAATATTACCAAAATAATTAGTATTAGCCTTAAAACTTCCAGGCGTTCCGCAGGGCGCGCTCTGCTGTTCCATTATTAAGGCGAAAAGTGCTTGCATTAGTCAGTGATTTGAGTGTGCATAATTGTGTTGCGCCAAATTCTCACTCGGTGGTCTGAGGGAGCGGTGTGGTCGGGGCGCGTGCTGAGGCGTGGCGTGTGCGTGTCGCAGGGCGCGTGGGCACGCCGCACTTCATGGCGCCGGAGGTGGTGCAGCGTCGCCAGTACGGGAAGCCGGTGGACGTGTGGTCGGCGGGCGTGCTGCTGCACATCCTGCTGAGCGGCACCCTGCCCTTCCTGGGCACGCGCGAGCGCCTCTACGACTGCATCTGCCGCGGCAAGCTCTACGTAAGTACAGCTCAACCCAACTTCTTCCAAGGAAACGCATAGGGCGCAAGGGATAAAGTAGCCGGAGCGAGGTGGACATTTTTGCCATCTTTCGTTCCCCCTTTTTCATTCAATCATGTATTATTAATTTATCCATTTATCATTCATTTTTCCCTGCATTTGAAACAATCGGTCATGCACTCCAATTTTTGTATTTTAACTATGTATATTGCTTGTTAGTAATTTTAATTACTTACATTAATTTTCCTTCAGGTGTGATGTTCTTCCTTGAATATAATTGTTTAATGCATTAACCTTCAAGTATGAAAATAAAGGTCATAAAAATATTTTAATATTGTGAAACAATGTTACAAAACTCTTCGGAAGAACTAGGCCTATAGGTAAATGAGAAGAAATCGTAAATTATAAAGAAAAGCGGAAAATCTAGAAAAAGTGGGAAATTATAATGTGAATTCGAGGTAGTAGTGCTTTCAAGTCCAGTATATAAGATGCGAATACTAGCTCTTTATTGTGTGTAAAAAAAATGAGAACACTACTACAAATATTGCTGTTATGTGATATTGCTAAATGATTGAGCTCATGTTATGTTGTGGATGTAAAACGTGGTCTATGGCAATCTGTATGGAAAAATGAGTCAAAGAATATGACAGAAAATAACATATTTTATGTAAAGGGAAAATGTGCTGTACTGACTCGATAAAATGCTAGATTGAATGGAAAATTATGAGAGATGAACTCAGTAAATATTATGTTGCCCACAATTGGCGCGGCAATAGAGTTAGGGGGTCTGCAGAATACCAAAACAAGTGTTTCCAATTAACCTTTTCTTAAGCAAAGCCGGTTCGAAGCCCGGGAAGCGATGGAAAGATATTGCTAAGGAGAATGCTAAAGACCTCTCGTAAATAAGTACATTGAAAATGAAAACAATACAGTAGTTGTTGAAGACCAAAGCTTGGTTACGAGCAGTCGTAGTGAATATTAGTTTGTAAAATAACGAAGAATAGCACTCCACGGTAAGGTAATAACTAGAATAGTTTCCTTGTCTACTTTATCAATATAGTATAAGTTTTGAATGACATATCCCCAAAATTTAAAAGTTTCGGGTCAAATTTGCTGGGCCTAATGTTAAGTTAGATCTCTCAGAGAATATCGTAGGTGTTTGTATGGCTAAACGTTTGAATCATTAATTTATTATATCTGTGTCCACCATTATCAGTATATCATTAAATTACTGTAGTTGCACTGGGAAATTATACCATTTTATGTAAAAAAAAGAAGTTAAATCGAACTAAATTTCCGAAAGATATTGCTGAACAAGGAAAGAAAAAGTACACGACAAAATGTTTAATCTCTTCTCAAAGTCTGTTAAAAATGTCAACTCCTGTGTTTATTGTTAAAAATGCAAACTCCGTTTATTTCTTTAGAAATCTTCAAATACAAAAATCTCAATAACGCAGGATCCACGGGTAGGGAAATTAAGGAAACTTCTCCCCTAAATATTAATTTTAACTTGTCATGAAATTGAAAATATTTTCGAATAATCATTTAAACGAATTAAATCGTGTTCTTACCTGAGCTGAGTGTAGCCTGCGACACTTAACAAAATCTGTATTATGACACATTCCATCGAAACATTTTGAATTACCCCTCGCAATATTTGCCTCTGGATCCTACGCCCTGATAATGTAACGGAAGCTCTCCAGTCTCAACCTCAGCTTCAAACTACGTTCGTTTTTACGACTCCGATGATAATTCCTCCAAAGATGTGTTCCAATCGATTGCGTCGACGCGCAATAACGGGCAGCAGCTGTGATCCGTGAAGATGCGACAACAGACGTCCCGGGCTCCTGGGGCGCAATGCACTGCACTTGGAGGCGGAAGCGAAGGGCGGGGACCCTGATTGCCAATCAGCACCGGCTTTTGTGGCTGCGGCGCTGCCTTGCTGCCGCTGCTGCCTCCCACATTCAAGCAGCCGAGTTTTGTCCTAATGCCCTCCTTCACCCGTCGAGTTACCGTAAATTGCGCTTTCTGGATCTTTACTGTCTTTCTCAGTGGCCATCTTCTTTGTTTTGTTTCCCTTCTTCATTACGTTCACATTTATACCATTTCTCACTCCCTTCTTGTCATTACTTTTTACCCCTCACTGAGATACCTCCATGAAGAAAATGTTTTTAGTATTCTATTAAACTTGATTTAAATATACTGTTTCGGTCCCGTTTCATATTTGATATATTTTTAATATAATGCTCATTTCTTCTGTTATCCCAATGTAAGGAACCTTTCTCCGACTGTCCATTTGAATACGTATTTACACGCGACACGTGTGTTTTTATTTCAATAAAAAAGTAATATTTAAATTTGTATTTAACATAAAACTGAATTTTACCCATATTTAAAATGTAAACCTCCCTTCAGAAGATAGCAAGTCAGAATATCAGCAACAAATTTTCTTGTTCCGCAACGACCAAGATCTTACATAATGGTGAGTCGAATCAGTAAACATACTGCTATGTACCTCCATGAAGGAAATCTACTTTGCTCCGGTACAAACGAAGAAAGGCTTTAATTGTGAATTCATGGAATTGGTGAGAAATCCATAACTCTATATCGAATCGGAACGCGACAATAATGTCGACGACCCCAGTAACGAAGCACAGGAAGAGCAACGTGTTTCCTGGTAAGAAAAAAATAACCTTCCGAGTAGGCGGCATTTTGTGTCCCAGAAAGGGATTCATTTGCAAGTTACGTTCTAATTAGAAAGAGACTACGACAAAATTCGAAAATCACACCAAACACTTGCTCCGAGTATCTGTGCTTGAGAAAAACGGTGGAGAAATTAAGTTAGTACGTTAGTTAATATGAAATTAATAATGAATTAAGCGGCATTAAGAGAAACTCCGGTGTTTTGTTTATCTGAAATTACTCACCTGGCATGTATTCTATACACAGAGAGCTAGATAAAATATATGCAAGGTGAGCAATTTTTATTTGCCGCGGATTTCAGCATCTTGAACACCAAAGAAGGGCAAGTCACGGTCTCCTCCCATGGGAAGATCTTAAAGCCACATATCCTATTATTTAATTGTCAAGAATTTTTACCTGTCTACCCGCGAAAGATTCTTTAAAGCAGAACCCGAGACTTCGGTCATCTGAGCACCAAAGAGTAGTTTTAATCACATGCCCATTTTCACCGTTTCCATCCCTTTCCCTCTCTGTCAGGGTAATTCCACGGGAGGCGCGCCGGCGCCGTCCTCTGTTTACCGCGACGGGGCGCTTGTTAGCGAGTGTCGACGTCGCCATCACGACTCCCTGGAGCGCTGCGGTACCCAATTCTCCCGCCCCTCCACGTCCTTTCTCTAGCCCCCTACCCAATCCGTCCTCCCCCACCCGTTCACCCTTCTCCGTCCTTGGCCTTCCTCCGTCCTTCCACGCCCTCCCCGTCTTTCCACGCCCTCTCCGCCCTTCCACGCCCTCTCCGCCCTTCCACGCCCTCCCCGTCCTTCCACGCCCTCCCCGTCTTCACCTCCCGTCTTTCACGCTCCCCGTTTCAGCCTCTCCGCCTTCCCGCCTCTCGCCTTCACCCTCCCGTCCTTCAGCCTCGCCGGTCTTCCAGCCTCGACCGTCTTCACGCCTCGTCCTCAGGCTCCCGTTCACGTCTCCGTCTTCACGCCTCGTCCTTCACGCCCTCCCCGTCCTTCAGCCCTCCCGTCCTTCCACGCTCGTCCCGTCCTTCGACGTCCTCCCCGCTCACTAGCCCTCGTCCTTCACGCCCCGTCTTCCCACGCCCTTCCGTCTTCCAGTTCCCCGTCTCCAACACTCCCGCTTCACCCTCCCGTCGCTTACACGCCTCCGGTTCGACGCTCCGGCTTCACGCTCAGTCTTCAGCCGTTTCCACGCCCACTCCGTCCTTCCACGCCCTCCCCGTCCTTCCACGCCCTCTATGTCCTTTCTCTTCTTCTCCGTCCTCGACAGACCTCCCTGTCCTTGCCTTCCTGCCCTCTCTCCGTTGCTATGTCTGGTCCCCCTACGCAATAATTAGAGGTCGTCAGTGCTTTTGGCGCGTGCTGCGCTGCCTCGAGGCCGGCGCGCGAACTGCTAGTGAGGCGCATTGCCGCGACCCGTCCGCTCCGCTCGGTCACTTTGCGCACCTTTTCCACACTTTCCAGCCGCCCATTCAACGCTGTGATTGGACGTTTCCGCCCCTGTCACTTGCGTATTCAAGGGCGCCGGGCTATTTGACCGCTCAATGGCCTGCGTTGTGCCACGTGTTTAACAGAAATTGTTGTTCTTATTGATACTAAGTAAATACTCCTTTGTTAATGAAGTATTCACCTCATCTCTATGACAGGATGCATGATCATTGAAGAATAACCCTTAAACAATACTATTTCCCCTTTGATGAGGTATGTACTAGATTTAAAATGAGATTTTGAAATGCGGTGTGAACTATCGATTATCATAAAGTATGTGAATGGGAACGAGTGTGTCCTGTATTTTCTATGGGGGGAAAAACAATCAAAAGTATATTGAACCAAAGAAAAAAAAATACTACTTCTCCCCATTCCCCCTTAGCTTGCCCGCTATTTTTTGGAAGCAGACCTGACAACCTTAATATTTGAGCTTATTCTTCTTGTTCATCTCATGTTCATAATGTGCCCTTCTGTTTTGTTTCTTGGTTTAAAACTCTTCGTTTCATTATTCTGTAATGTGGTATTGATAAAAATGTAGCTGTAAAATTTATATTTAAAACATTTAGTTAAATTCACTTTTGAAACTAGCAAAACATGTGTTTTTTTTAAATTGTTATAAAGAACATGCTTAGTCTCATACTAATTTCAAATTGTGTTTGGTGTTGCAGCTGGATTCACCTCAGTGGGAGTTCATCAGTGATGCTGCGAAAGACCTTGTTCAGAAAATGCTTACAGTAGATCAGAATCAACGAATAACTATTCAGGAAGTTTTGAATCACAGATGGGTTAAAGTAAGTGTATGTATATTATAAACAAAACTTTATATCATCATAGTTTTTTGAAGTAATTTATTTCCTGAGTGTAAAGGATTTAATTTTATTGGATCATTTATTTTATTTTGTTTTAAGTGAAACTTCTGTTTGTCAGCATAACTTCAAAAATAGTGTGTTTTCTTTCTTCAGGATAGGGATAAGTCTGCTCCAAAAATCCATCTTAATGATACTGTAGAAGAAATGAAAAAGTTTAATGCAAGAAGAAAATTAAAAGGTGCAGTGTTAGCAGCAGTGTCTTCCCCTAAATGGACATCTTTCTATTCAGATCCTAATAGTGATGGGTTCTCTGACTTCGGAGATGATGAAGTCACATCTTCGGGTGAGTCAATCAACTATGGTTTTGAGATGACACACTTAAACATTTGTTCTTCTATTAATAAAATTGTTATCAATTATGATTATAATGTATAAAGTAACACATTTATCCTGTCATCAATGTCAAATCACGATATTACAACTCACATATGCCTAAATATGTGTAACTTGGTGGCCCTACCCTACAGGGAGTAGTTTCAATTGAAATAAATAATGAAGTTCTGAAGATGAAGAAGTGAAAAATATTGTTGAACTGTATTTTGAAACATAAAAAGTGTTTGACATGGTAAAGAAAATTAAGTGTTAGAAAGTTAGTTCATATTTGAGTTAAAACATGCTGTCTGTTGTAAATAGTTTAATAACAAAATTGAGAATACACTTCACATATATGTGCTTTGTTTTTCCGCCAAATTTTTGTTCCCTTTCATACTGCAATACTGTTGGTGTCTATTGATCATCATTGAAAGCAAGATTGTTGTGTTGAATAAAAGAAAGCTAGTAAGTGATTTTCTTATTATGGATATTTATAGTAGTTAATGTAAATATCAAGTAAATGTAGCAAGTATGTGTAAAAACTTGCTTGTGTATAAACTTCAATGTATTTGGTATACATATATAGTAAAACACTGATATTGCAGAAATTATAAAATATTTTTCTTGAAGTCACTTGAATTATTTCATTAATTTTTGTTTCAAGTGATAGTAATTCAATACCATGAACATTAATTTCATAAATATAGTAATGAGATAATATGATAATTCTGTGTTTCATGGTAAGACAATTTAGGGGTAATTGTAAGAAGAGGTAATACAATAGGGTAATTGTAAGAAGCAAAATTGTCTCTAACCAAATAAATGTTGTCTTTAAAGTATCTTTTGTGATCTCTTATTCAGTAAAATAAATGTTCTTCCTTTTTTACTATTGTTAACTTAAATAGATTTTAGTATTTCACTGGCAACAACATAATACAATTGATATTAAATGCATTTATTTGGTACAAATGACTGAGACTTTAAAAAGAACATTAGTTTTGAATTATTGTCAATATGTAAAAATATAGCAAATAATATTACATATCATATTAACAATAATAGTTTAACTACTATAGTTTCATGTTTTTTGTTCACTGATATAAAATTTGTATATTGCTTGTAAGTCATGGATCTTGCATATATGAACATATGCAATATTACATACATACATTAATATATGTATGTATCTATGAATTGATTTATGTATGTATGTATGTATGTATGTATGTATGTATTGATTTATTTATAAGTATGGGAATGTGTTTGAAAGTATGTATCTATTATACTAGTATAATGATGTTATTATGCATGTTTTATGTATTTTATTTTATTGTATGAAGCAATTTTAAGATTGCACTGTAATTATTTTTAAAAAATACTATAATTGTACTTCATAAAACCAGTGAGAAACTAGGCTCTTTTTTTGTTTCATTTCTATTTCTTCAGCTGAAAGAATTATCATAAGATTTATATTATTTTTTTCCCCAAAAATTGTATTTTTTGAAATTATATTGTTTTGCAATTAACATATAATTATTTTCAAATATATCAATTAAATTACTTGAATTTTAAGTTTTTTATAATGGTTGATTAAGTTTCTTTGTTGTTGTTTTTGTGCTTTTAGAAGCTCCTATTTTAATGAGGTTCTATGCAAATCTATGTTGATATACAATGAGAAATCACTTGATAAACTTGATGTGAACATTTAGAAACATTCTTTTACAAAATTAAGAGAAATGATCAAAAATGAAGTTCAGTATTAATATGTCAAATGAAACCTTATGTCAATAGTGCTTAAAAATAGTTTTTGAATCTAGAACATCAAATCTTCACAATTATTCACTCTAATGTTATATCTAAATTCAGATATTTATTATATAGTCACATTATTACACACATTGTTTTTCTTTAAAGAAAGGTAAATCTCATTGATACCTAAAAAGTCTAATAAGATAATATTCTCCTTTATATTTTTAATAATTTCTAATGCAAAAGTATAATGACAAAAAATATAAATATTAAAAATTTTGTGATTATTTGATGTATGAATACTTGAAGCTTTGCTATCCTAGTATTTCCAATATATTTCTTTTAGTTGTAATCAAACATTTTCTAAGAAAGTGGTGGTAGGAAAGTGGTAAAGATGTTTTATACACTACAACTCCAAACATGTTCATGTATGTGTTCACAGTACACGGAACACAATTTAGAGATGTGTATAGCAGATATAAATTTGGATTGAATGTACCAGAGAATGTATTTCAGAACTCAAGACCATCTTTCTGCAAAAATTAGAAAAGTAATAAAATTTCCAGGATATAACATATTGTAGTAACAAAAGCATTACAATATTAAGTGAATGTGTTCAATTAAAATTGAGATTGAATACAACTGGTAATAAATCAAAATTGCAAAATACAGATGTGAGGTTTGTGAGAATATTTCAATGAATTTTCCAGAAAACTTCACAAAGAAATATTTTTAATTGCATGAGAAATTAGAATATTTTTCTGTTTTTTAATCAATTACACCTACTGTCTGGTCCTATTTCCAGTAGCATGCATGTTAACAAAATATGAGGTTATGTTCTTATCCTTGTCCATGGCTCATTCTTACACCATGCATTTCACTAAAACAGAAATGATTATGATATCAATACATTTGTAAATCTCATTTCTTACTGTTGAATTGATTTACCTCTTTTTAATGATAATATAATCAGAATTGCATTAAATACTCGAACCGATTATTATAGTCTACTAAAGATCATTCTAATAAATCAACTTCTTACACAGTATTAGAGGTATGGTAGTGTATATTTTGCATTGCATACTGAACTTTTTAAATTGTAGTTTTACTACAAAATGTTCTATATTTAGCAAATGTGTAATTCTCAGGTACCCCTATTTTGTAATTATGAACATTTTTGCTCTCCTCAATAAATTTTACTTTGTGTGTTGATATTTACTGCTCTGTTATGTGGAAAACTTATTCTGGACAAATCAAATGAAGTGATCAGTTTTGTTTCTTTGTTTTAATAAAATTTTCCATTCTGTTATTTTTTCTGATAACGGATAATAAAAAAGTATCGGTGATAAGTAAATTTATTTCATTAATTCGTTATTGTTTGGTCAAAACTCATATGTAAACAAAAAATTTATTTTATATTTTAAGTTTCATAATTTGTGTTCAGCATAAACTTGTTTGATGAGTGTTTTAATATTTGTGATAAAATATTTTCTAATCAGTGGACCCTACATGTGAAGAAAATACAAGATTTAATTCTTTCAGCTTCAGAATTATTTGATTGCAGTTTTGTGTTTTTGTGTTCATTGTCAAGTGGAAAATGAAAGTGATTTTCTGACATATTTTGATTCTTTCTAAGAGTTTTGAGAAATATATTGTGTGACTAAACAACAAAAATGGGAAAAATCCTTATACTTATTTCTACAGTTCTCTACAATGAATGTTAATTATGTGATTTTAATTTTATGTAATATGTTATACACAGAAACTGAAAGTTTACTTTGTGGAAAATCTGAAAGGAAATATTAAAAGAATTTACTCTCACACATTTTATTGAACTATTGAAAAGTAAATAATATGTAATAACAAAAAGTTAATATTGTTACAAGTGCAAACTCTCTTCTTCTTGAAGAATGTAGGTATCAAAAATTGTTGGTACTTTTGTTCTGTGCAACAAATAAGTACTGTTAAGAACAGCAGTACATATTTTGTCAAAAATGTTATTAATGATAAGCTTTAACGTCTCTTATGTTGCTTGAGCATATACTTGGATGTGAATTCTGTTGAAAAGAAATCTGTATGTTTTCTATGGGAGATGTAGATATAAATGTAGTTTGTTAGAATTAAGTACACTTTAAAGTATCATATTGCTTAGATTTAATTTCATTTTCATTTAATCATCTATTCATGTACTCATTGTACTACTCATAAAAATTGGTGATTCAAATGTGTATGGTGCTAACTTGATTTGAATGTAGACTTTTAAGGGCAGATTCCTGAAGACTTTGTTTCTTGGTAATAGTTATTCACATTTCAATTTTTCATGCTCTTTTATTTTATTTTTGTGTATCATTGCTTTCAACTTTTATGGAGACTCGGACATCTTTTTGTATGTCATTGCTGAAATTGATCTCTCTTTATATCTATCATTCACTTAATCTGAATAGTTAAAAAGTGTATATGTGAGAAAAGAATCCTGTATAATGATATTGCAATTATAAATTATTTAAAGGGTGGAACTTTTCCTGAATGTCAATAATTGTAAATAATTTTATTACTTCCACTCACAGTGTATCAATTGGCAGATTTCTAAAGAAATAAAAACGTTACAGATAAGTGGAATATGATATTGTACAGAAAATTCAAATTATTATTCATACTTATTTAAATCTTTATTTTCCATTTGATTGATGTATAATATGGTTATACTTTTGAACAGTAAAAAATATCTTGATCCTTAGTTACTTGTTAAAACAGAAGCAAAATGTTTTGCATACACATTAAATTGTGTCATGTACTGATGCAAAAGAAAAACTGCCTCAACACTTGAGTAATTAATTTTCTAGAAGTCTGCCATCTTAGGCTTATTAATTAATTTATGTTTTTCATTGCATCATAAATAAGGTTTGTGTGAAAATTGTTACTGTGGATGTTACTTCTATAAGAAGGTAGAAAAAATATTTTGTGTATGACGTGTTAGCAGACATGGTATTGTTTGAAGACCTGGTACTAGGAAGTGGGTGGCGTAATCTCTTTCACTTTTTGTTTTAATAAACTGGGGATATATTTGTACACTTTCATTGAACTGCAGTCTTTAGACTTCATCGTGATCACAACTGCAACATGCCTGGTCTTCGCATACCTTCACTTATTACAAGTCCTGAAGTATCTCTATTTAATTTGTATTTTACAACAACCAAACACTATTGCCCAAGTTTTTGTTGTAATTGTATTCCAGATTCTCTTACTTTTATTTTGTTAACAAAGGTGTATTTCATGGTGTAAATTAAGAAAATATTGTACAACTCTTCCTTTATTTAAAAGTCCTCTCCACCACCAGGTATTGAGGTCTCTGTTAAGAATATATTGTTAAATTAATTATATTAAATTGCATAATTCTGTTTTACTTTCCTTAAAAAGTGGTTTTAGTTGAAGTCATTATGACATAAGTTCAAGGGTGCTTACACAGTCTTTAAAATAAAAATATTAGATTTCCAGTGGCAGAAGTTATTAATGAATTATATACATTTAAAATAGAAGTCCATTAATCTGTCAGGAGTTTTCTGAGTGTTTTTTCAAGAACTAAGTACCCTGTTGAATATTTTCTGACGATGTGAAAATGAATAAGAAGAGATACGGTGGATTGTGAGATATGTAGATGTATGTGATCATTTTATAAGTAAATCTACTACAAGGAAAAATACCTGGTGGTCACTTTATCCACTGGAAAGAGCAAATATTAAAGTTATTTTTGTAAATGGTAGAAAAGAAGTAATAAATTTCTGCAAAAATATATCTCATTTGTACATGCATTGTATACATGATTTATGAGATGCTAATAATATCTGCACCACTTGTCCTCTGACTAAACTATAAAACTCTTCTCTTATTCTTACTCATTTTCTCTTTGTGTAAGCATATTCATTTTAAATTAGCTTCCTTAGTAG